CGACGGTTGATTTAGCAGGAAGCTATCACTTGCCGGAGAGTCGGGCCGTTCATAGGGCGGCAAGTGTAGTCTTTCGAGCTTGTTCGTCACTTTCTTCAATGCGGACCTTATTACTTCTGATGCAGCGTTTCCGTCCATTGTATTCGGCTGTGAGAAGGTGATGGGCGTGAAATCTTCATTTCGCATATCTTCCAATCCACTAGCCGATCTCATTTGCGTGCCATTCCAAGAATCCTCATGACCGTCACCTTGGTTCAACACAAATTTCGTAGGCCCTTTCTTCACATCCAGCATCCCGTTGCGCGATCCTCGGGGGCTTCCAGGAGTCGACCGGAGTTCTCCTTGATCTTGACCCGACGACTTGGTCGGGGATCGGGGGCTTTTCGGAGAGGAGGAATGGCCGGCACCCTCACCAAACTCATGTTGACCATCACCAGGAGGTCCGTTCGAAGTAGCATTGTCGCGTCGGTCCGAGGACGTGGAGAAGTCCCAGACGCTATCCGAGTGTTTCATTCTGGAAAGGGCTTCATCTTGCGTTTTCTCGGTTCCGGGGGTGGGTGGCTTGAACACACTCTCGAGTCCAATTGGGGCGAAAAGATCGCGCTGTTCACCGGAAGGGATATCTCCATGGACCAGTCTCCTCCGCCATTCCGGGGTCCCTTCGCCGCCCTTGGCCTTCTTTGGTTTGATTTGAACAGTGCTTTGCTGGACCGACTGACCGGAGGCGTTCGAGACCGATCGCAACGGCGATCTCGTGTCCATGGTGGACGATTGTTTACGCCTGGACGACAGGTTCCTGGACGGTGGATTTGGTCGCGGGCTCTTTTTCGTCTTATCGGGGACCGGAGATCGCAACTTGGACGGAGTCTTGGGGGTACGAGGGGTCTTCGGCGTGGGCGGTTCCCTTTTCATGAAATGACAGGGCCGAGAAACCTTCTTTTTATCAATAGGCGATGGCGACGGGGCGACAGAGCGACGCGCGGGAACCGGAATGCGACTAGGAGAGTTTTGTAAGCTGGACTGGCGGGAATGAGAGATGGACCGAGAGGGGACCGGGCTGGTTGGGGTTCCAGGCACAGGGACGGGCACCCAATCGTCGGAGAGTTGGTCCAGCCATGGTGGATTGTCGCTCATTTTCTGGATCGGAGGAGAGGGGGAGAGAGGGAGGGAGGGTGGTGGTCGCAGAGGCTGAAGCTCAGGTCGGCGCGCGTCGCGATTCACAGGACGCCAGGCGGGATGCAAGCACAGCGGAAATTAGCAGATGCAGGCGGACCATGGAGCTGAAGGATGGTGGAATGGCATCGGGGGTGGACTGCGGTGGGTTTGTTGCAGAAGGCGATGCGCAATGATGGGGTGGGTGTGTGTGTATGTGGAGAGAGTATAAGCAAGGATCGAGGAGTAGCTTAGTTACAGAGGAATAATGAATGAATGGGAGGGAATATGTAAGTAAGATTGGGGGAGGAGGGGAGAGGAGGAAGAAAGAGGGAATCTACAAGTCGATAAATTGTTATTCTTGGGCGAGTGGAGATTCAGCGGCACGGGTTTAGTTGGATTATTTAGTTGGTTTACTGGGTTTTAGTGTCCATCGATCCAGTCGGGCTGGGCGGGTGCTCGGGGCAACCCTCCCCAGTCAAAATCAATCTACGCTGGAATTAGTTAGTGGTTGGCTAATTCTTTTTGTTGACAAGTTTTTTTCTACAACTGCCCAACTCTAGTTCCATTGTTTCCTTGTTGTCTCCCCTTCCCCACGGTTCCTTGGTTCCAGAGAGAGAGGGACCCGGACTCATGGTTGATCCCCCCGTGTTTCCGCCGAGATCGTGCCTCTCCTGAAACACCTGCTGCTGCACCTTGAAGGAAGAAGAAAAAAGAAAATACAATAATAACACCTTGCGTCGGAGCAACACAGCGAAATAATCACAACAACAACAACATTTTATAATAACGAAAATATTATGGGCCATCGCAACAGCCAGCCCAACCAGACCCGCAAAGCACAGCTAAAATTGCAACACAATCAATCCCTTAACCTGAAGTGGACAATTGCAGTCTGAGTTGGCACTGGATCCCTTCGCCAGCCAATTGCAGTACTTCTGCCAGTGACCGACTCCATCCTCTTTACGGAGTAGAGTCTACTTAGTCTTAAGAGAGTCTGAGCATTGTGGATACGTAGTAGGGGAAAAAAAAAGTACCCAATTGTCGCCCACCGTCGATCCCTTTAGGGACTCATTCGATATTAATTTTCGCGACGCAAGGAGCACAGGCTCCCTAGTAAGTACACAGTGGACCAGTCTCATCCGTCACGGTCTATTCTGCCCGAGTCGTCGTGTTTCCAACGCCAGACCCTGCAAGGCACGAGCTTGGTGTTTCGGGCAAATTGGATTGATAACCACTGGCTCGTGTTCGTTGCGATTATAATCCCCAATGTTTGAAGTTGGGAGTGAGCGCTGCGATCGTCGAATTAGAAGTAAAATGTCGGTATGGGCGTATAGTCGGACTGGGAGTCCTAGTATGGAGGAGTAGTAGTAGTAGTAGTAGTAAACAACAACTATGATCATGATATATTATCGTCGTATAATCCATTGGCAAGTCTGCACATTGCGGAGCACTACTGTTCTTAGTTCCTCGTCGATTACTGGCTTTTAGAGCCCGCAAATAAGCGTATGTCTTTCGTCAACAAACCAATCGCCTCTCACTCAGGAATCAAACTACTAGTACTTAAGTACTTCTCGGTAGTGCTGGTAGTATGCCAACATGCCTCTGGGGTTTCCATACTGCTTCAATTTCACACCTGACCCTCATTTGAGTACTACTACCGTCAGTCCATACTGTTACCCATGTAGGTAGCCAAGCGCGTACACCCTTAACGAGCAGCTAATTTCCCCAGGTCCTACTAATACTACTAGTGAGGCAATACTGTATTTATATACTAGTAATACTAGCAATTGTAGTAAATGGGAAATCCAAATTTACACTATGAAAGTGCCTCAACAAGCGGCTGGGTGCAGGAATCATGCAAGGAAGAGTTTCAGTACGAAACTCGATAGTAATTTGTCCCTAGTGCTTGTGAATAGAAATAGATATATTTATACTCCATATTATCCAGACGCATATCTTGTGTCATTGGTGTAACTCCTGCGGCAGAGCTAACACGCCTGAGCAGAGTCCTTCCTGCCAGCCTAGACCGCACATACTTGGAGAATAAGGGACATACCGCTACAAAGTAGTAGACGCAAAAGTTACATTGGCAACTCTTTGGTAATCTAGCTCGCGATCATGCCACATGGACGATAAAATACAGTAGCCTTCGTCAAAGACTTAAGTGGACTTTTCACATGTATGGCCCACGGTCACTCTCCATCAAGCCTGGGGGCGCTCGGGGGAAACGGTTCCCTTCACCTTGGCGGTTTCGGTTTCACCCTCGCCCTTTGCGCTCTTCCCAGGCTCGTTCACGTACGGGTTGTCCGTGTTGGTGTTAGAGAGACCCTCCTGCTTGCCAGAGATGGTCGCCGAATTACCAGTGTCCTTGCGACTGGAGGGCTACATTTGGGAAGTAGTTAGTCGAGCATCCTTTCAAAACAAAGGAGTGAAATTATTGCTACTGCCGGGAGATCAATGGCTCACCTGGTCTACATCCGAGGGCGGCTTTCCGTCCGTTGACGGCGTACCCTCCGCAGAGGAAGACGTATCTGTCTTCTGCTCTGCATCGCGATCAGGCTGAGGAGTAGCTTCACCCGCAGGGGCCTTCTCCTCCTTCTCGACGTGGCCAGCGCCGTGAGCCTCGTGGCCGTGATGAGGGGTCTTCTTGGGTCCGGACTGAAGCAGGTAGAATGCTGTTGGGACACCAAGACCCAGAGATGCGATGAGCCTAGTTGAATTGCGTCTTTAGTCCTGTGCCCTGAACCAGTGAGACTAGACTTCAGAGAGAAGATAACTACCATGGTAGATCGGAGGACTTGGGAGCGTCATGCGCTTGGGCGTAACCCCTGCGAGCGAATTGCTGTGTGGGAGGACGACGAGCTGCGACGCCGATGCCGGCACCGACGGCCCTAGCAGATGTGCGGAGGATATGAGGGCGTGCGAGAACCATTGTGAGATGGGTTATGGCTAGGGGAGAATTTTAGAAGATGGTATAGCTCAGTAGGCACAGTAGCAATGGGATGCAATTGACGGGAAGAAGAAGAAGGTAGCGGAAGAAGGAGGAGGAGAAGAAGAAGAAGGAAGAGAAAGTATGAGGGGAAAGCAGGAGGCTGGACCGGGGATGGTATGACCTAATTGAAGGCAGTCCCGGACTGGCCTTCGTTACGTTGCAATTCCATTCCTGGTCACCACTTCTTCGGAGCGGGAGCTGCCGGAGTGGCTCTCCTTCCTTGCTGCCACGGTCATTTTACCGGTTACTTACTCGCTGGTTTACCTGGTAATTAGCGTTGCTCACTATAGAGGAATAAAGTACTCCTCATGTACTACCGCCTGTAATTACCGCGGATGATGTAATGGCACCGTGCGGGGAAGAACGTTGGCCTTTTGTAGTCCGTCTCGCATGGACCGCATGCTCAACATCTGAAGGTTATAGCCACTTATCTTCCTTAGCATGGTAAGCAGGCAATATGGCCTAGTTTAAGACCTTTTACGTTCTTCTCAATTGGCCCTGTCAATGCACATTCTTGAGGTCACTGCGTGGTTCTGAATCTGTCAAGTATGGAACATGCACTAATAGTCTCAAGAGCCCGCCGTAGGAGCTTGTTCGTGCCTGAGGCTGCACAAGCAGCTCCGATAACAAACACCACTTTAACTCTATCTCCTCCCCATTCATCATCCCACTTGTTGCTTCTTCGGTGGTTCTTTAGTCCCAACTTCATCCCTGATTTCGTTGCGTGACAACTTATCCCGACTGTTGGAGACACACTCTTTCTAAGGCTCCCCACGCTTTACCTTCAGGGGTTCTCTTTCTTCTCAACTACCCTCCCCTATCCTGACGCCGAAACTCACTGCGGGGCTTCAACATGGCGGACCGGCAGTCGGTGCAGCACAGCCTTAACAGCCTGCTCTCTAAACTGAGCGACCCTGACCCGGACATGCGATACATGTCGCTAAATGATCTACTTGGCATTTTAAATAATCCTAATTCCACCTATCTGGCTCATGACCAAGTCTCCTCATCAAGACTGGCTGAGGGCTTGTTGAAGGCCTTGGATGACCAACATGGCGATGTCCAGAATCAAGCTCTGAAATGGTTTGTCAAAAGTCCCGTCTTAAATCGGTTAATCGGACTAACTTGATGTACATCGTCCAGTCTTGGCCCTCTTGTCCTTCGACTGCCCTTCGAAAGCCTTGCATCTCTTCTCGAAAAGCTCACAAACCTGACAGCCTCGCAAACCATTGACACATCCGTTCCGAATACTGCTCTGAGATACATTGTGACAGCTCTTCCTCGGCCGCAGCCGGGTCAGCCTCCAAGTCAGGAGGCGACAATGGCATATTCGGCCGTCTCTCGCGTCCTCATTCCCCGCTTGACTGGCCCGACTCCATCCCCTACTAGTCGGCGTGGCTCGATCGTCAAGGGCATGTTGGAGAAGGATCCTTCAAAGGGCTTCAGTAGTGATGCTATTGATGTACTCATTCAGGTTGTCACTTGCTTTGGCCCCCTGCTGAAAGAGCCCGAATTGACGGCCTTGCAAAACTCCGTCCTGTCTATCGTTGACAACGATACAGCTGGCACCGTGGTCACGAAAAGGGCTCTGACGGCCATATCCGCCCTTGTGCTCCACTTCTCCGATGCTCAACTTAGCGCTTTTGTCCAGGGGCTGGTCCAAAGATTCAACTCCCCACAACTTAGTACAGTCCATCGGCGTCACCTCATTGCCACTGTCGGTGGTGTAGCGAAAAGTGCCCCGGCCAAGTTTGGTCCTCATCTTCCTACACTAGCCCCTTATGTCTTTGCTGCTGTTGGCGAGGATAACTTAGCACAAGTAAGTCGGCATCGATCCTATCTCACTTCTATAACCTTGCTCACGGCCCGGCTTTATAGTAGTCAACCGGATCCCAATATCGCTTTCCGTAGGCTCGATTGCGTGAGGGACACAGTTTTGTGCTGGTAGCCTCAAGTTTTATTCACCAGAACGGCGGCTTCCCATGTAATTAGGACTCGCCTTATAGACATGATGAGCCTTCCAGTTCTCTGGGTGCCATGACCATACCCTTAATGAAAAGAAGAAAGCAATGCAATGCAGCGTCCCCCCAGTGCCCATCAATGGAGTTCCACAGCACTTCTTAGTCTTGGGAATAGTAGTCGAGAACCTTTTCGTCCAGCCAAGTCAATGATCTATGAAAAAGGTTAGCGTTCCTTTCTGATCATTGCCTGTTCTAATTTAGCCGGACCGTCATTGCAACATCTCTTCGACTGATCCTTATGAATAAGCTCCTTCCGTCGCGATGTCTCAAAGCATTCGTCGGCAGCTTCTTGCCCTGCATGCAGGGTCGTCACTTCCATTCACATCAGAAAGGCCCGGTCGTCTAAGCTGTTCTGCTACCTTGCAACCATCTTCTTCTTTTCTCCCACAGCATATCTCATCAACTGTACAAGTCTCTACTCACTGTCTCCATTACTCTACAGTTTACTCTGAATTACATCTTATCAAAATATACTATCTCAAAATGCACATGCTTCGCTTGGTTGTTTCTGGGCTTGGTCTTGTGGCATGTACGGCTGCGCGCAACATCTTCAGTTTGCAGCCTAACCGTCAAGGAACTCATCTTCTGCCCCTTACTCACGGAGATGCTCCTGATCACAAGCTTGTCGAGCGTGGTTCTAGTCCCCGCTGTGGCCCTGATCATGGCAAGTGTCCTGAGGGTAAATGCTGCTCAACTGCTGGTGTGTTCAGCCTACTTCCTTGTAGACGAGTTAGCCCGTACTGATGGCCACAGGTTATTGCGGGGACACCAAGAACCACTGCAGCTCTCCTGACTGTCAGATCGACTTCGGTAATTGCGACGCTCACACAACTCCAGGAGGCCCTCCTACGGACAAGATTCCTCGGCCTCATGTAGGCAACGTACCCTATGGCCCAAAATTCATTCGGTCCTGTACCACTCCAGGAACCATCGCCCTGACCTTTGATGATGGCCCCAAGGAATATACTCAGGACCTTCTCGACCTCCTTGACAAATATGAAGCAAAAGTGACATTCTTTGTGACAGGAAATAACAATGCCAAGGGCGAGATTGATAGTCCTGGGATGCCTTGGGCATCTTTGATTCAACGCATGTATCGCATTGGCCACCAAGTTGCCAGCCATACTTGGTCACATCAAGACCTTAGTAAAGTCACGCAAGATCAGCGCCGGGTTCAGCTGCTGTGGAACGAAGTTGCTCTACGCAACATTTTGGGAACAATCCCCACTTACATGCGTCCTCCGTATTCCAGCTGTACCGCGGAGTCAGGCTGTCTGGAAGATCTTGGCTCGCTTGGATATCATGTCATCCTGTACGATATCGACACTGAAGATTACAGTCATGATAGCCCGGCTCTGATCCAACAATCCAAGGACATTTTCGATCGCAACTTGGCCTCTCGGACGGATTTTGATAGGCCTTGGCTCGTCATCGCTCACGATGTCCATGAACAAACGGTCCACAACCTCACCGAGTACATGTTGAAGAAGCTTATCGCAGAGGGCTACCGCGCCGTGACGGTTGGCGAGTGCCTGGGTGATCCGCCTGAGCTCTGGTATCGTAAGGACGAGGCCTTCGACGATCGACAAACGCGAAAGTCTAAATCCAAGAATGATGTTGCCAAAACTGTATCAGTTGATGGCATGTGTGGTGGAAACATCACCTGTCTTGGGTCGCGGTTCGGCCCTTGCTGCAGTGGCACTGGTTTCTGTGGCAGCATGTCTACATTTTGCGGTTCTGGATGTCGACCTGATAATGGTAATTGCGGCGACAATGCTGGTACCGTCAAAGGCGGTGGTGCCCCCAATGCTGGTTCTGGTAAACCAACGAAGCCGGCGAAGTCAGAAGGGAAGGCTTTGCAGCTAAGCTCGTCGGTGGCAATTGTGATATTGTTATTCCTTGTGGTGTTGATGGATTAAGCTGATATGGTGGGCTGAAAGCCTGACCCTTTTTTATATTCTGACCTTTTTATTATATACAACGGCTTAGCTGTGTATACTACAGTCGGTCACGGAAGCGCATCATCATACGCAGTGAGGTGCTTTAGAAAGAAGTGTTGGTCTGTACTTTCATTAGACTAGCCTTACAATTTGACTCATGCTATTGGCATGGCGCATGATGCTCGATAGACTTGTCCCTAGTATAGCATCACATCGCATGGCCCGATGAGCATAGAAAAGAAAAGTTGAACCCTTCAATCAACAAGTAAATCCACAACGCCAGATGGTATACCGCGCTACCGCGCTCCGCGCCGTCCATAGTTAATGCCCAGTAGTTACAATACACCCACGAGCCATCCGTTCCCACACGACAGAAATAATAATGATAAGCATAATGATGAAAATGATACTAAACCCCTCAATCACAAACCACAAACCGCTCACCCGTACAGCACATCACCGTCTGACAATCTTCAACAACGGCGCAATTCTCGCTCGCCGACTCAACCCAACCCGATAAGGTACTTTAGTCGTGGAAGATATGGGACTGTGCTTCGTTGGGCCTTTACTAGGTTTTAGGGGCGTAGAGGGTGCTGGATTCTGTTCTTGTTGGGGCTCGCTCATGTCCTCGTTCCCCTTCTCGGCCTCTTTCTCTTTCTCTTGAGGTGGTTGTTGGTCTGGTTCTTGCTGTGGTTTTGCGTCGTCATGTGGTGCTGAGTTGGGGTCAGGTACTGGGTTGTTTTCTTTATCTGATGGTTGCTGGGGATCTATAGCTGGTGCGGGAGCGGGTGGTTGTTCTTCGACTGGGTTCTTTCGTTTGCGGCCGCGCTTTTTGGGTGCTGGTGCCGGCTGTGGCTCGGGTTCTGGATCTGGGTTTTGGATTGTGGGAGTGGTCTCTTCATGTGCAGGGATGTTGCCGGGTTGTTGTGTTTCTGCTTCGGTTTGGGGGGTGATTGTTGTAGAGACTGGTCGTTCGTCTACCCAGATTACGTCGTCTTCGACGTCGGACTCGTATGTCTTTGTTAGGGTTATGGAGGTAGTTTTGCCGCGTTTGAGTTTCTTCTTTTTGGGCTCTTTGGCTTGTTTCTTTGGTGGGGGTGGGTCGGTGGTGTTTGTAGTGGTTTGGTGTTCTGTTGTTGTGAGGGGGTCGGTTGAGGTGGTGGTAGTTTCTGGAGGTATAGGGAATGCGGTGGTGTCGTTTGATATCAATCCTGGCTGGTCGTCGTCTTCATTACGTGGTGGCTTGGGGTTCTTTGGGGGTCTGCCTGGCTTGCGCTTTTCGGGTTTGTTATTGGTAGTGGTAGTGGTAGTGGTTGTCGCATCTTGGATTATAGTAGGGGTTTGGATCTGGGCTAGCTCATCGTCTTCGTCGTGCTCAGGGATGCTTTGTTTCTTCTTGCGGCATCGTTGTTTCTTCTCCGCCACGGGGATCTCGATGGTTACCGGCCCGTTGAGCTCATCGACGCTCTGGTGGGATTGCTGCACTGCATTGTCGCTTTTCGATCGGCCGGCTTTGGGGGATACCACGGAGGAGAATGGTTCTGTGTCGTGTGGGGAGAAGGGGACGGGTGGGACGGAGTTAGATCGCCGAGGGGATTTGTATGCGATCTCGGTGTCGACGGTGCCGGTTGGATGGGTAGGGATGTTAGTCTCTGGGTCAAAGCTGCCTGATGGGCGGAGAGACGATTCGAACATGTTGTAGGATGCGCCTGTCGTAACCGAGTAGTTGAAGCTCGTATGATCACTGGGCTGCGCGGTTGGCTCGTGGGTATATAGGTTCGCTGCGTCAAGCGGGTGCTGTCCCGTTCCGTAGGGCAGAGTGTCGGATATATCAGGCTGCGCTTCAGTATATAGTGGCGGTTGTTCCGAGTAGCCATGGGGGTGCTCATTAGGAACTAAGGCGATATCGTCATGCGGGGGGAATTCTGCAGCAAGTTGTTCCTGAACAACTGCCGATTCCGTCTGCGCGGTGTCCATGTCACCGGTGTACTGGTACCCAGATTGTTCAGTATAGTGTGCTTCATCATCGTCAAATAGTCGTTGCTGTGCAATTCCGATCTCCGTCATCATTGACCCTATGGATGTAGGTATGCTTGTCAGTGGTCGAACAATCCAATCATGGACTTGGCGTATCCCTCACCAATCGATCCGCCCCCCGCATCGGCCGGTATCCATCGAGATTCTCTTCGTTGCTGGGAGGATGAGATCCCATAATTTGCGGATTCTTGCGATTGCAGGAATTGATCGAAATTGACATTCATGTGCGAGTCATGGCTGGTCTGATGGGCTTGATAATGTCCTGAACCCGCCCGGATGTCAAGGTCTGTGTTATCGACTCTGGGTCGAGGGGAGATGGGCCCCGCCAAAGGATCGTCTTCATCGTCCGAGTCCTGAATCACACGGCTAGAGGACATTGGACCGGTCTAGTTATACGTCTGGAAGATAGAATTGAAGGAACACGCGATCTGGTATCATTTAAGGCTATGAGTGTGGCTGATGGTTCACTCGCGTCCCGCAAATCCGGGGGCGGAGCGACGCGAAAGCACGTGCTGATAAGCATTTGGTGCCTGAGGTATAAGTTCTTAGAAAGCGGGCAGAACAAGAACAGAAAACAACATGATGCATCTACATAAAGGTATCTTCCAGTTCATTACATGCCTCATCATTCCATAGTACTTTGGGGTCGCATCACACCCCGCCCGAAAAACTCGCTGACCACCCCAAATCGGTCCTTGGAGCGTTGCAATTCACCCTTGAACAGATCGTGCTGGTCTGCAGACTCGACCTGTCTCTTCCGAATGGCTTTGATAGTGGAGTTCTGCGGTGCGCAAGCAGGACATTCAGCGTCTTCGTCCACTCGGTTCAGACACCGTTGGTGGAATGAATGCTTGCAAAGGAAGTGCACTGTAGGAAGGTCCAGGGCGCCGCCACAGGACATGCACCGACGGGCCTGGAAGACAACAGGCTTGCTACCCAGTTGTTCAAGCTCCTTCCTCTTGTTCTCCGTTTCGGTGCTGTAGCTTGATATCAGGCGGCGGTTCTACATTATCGTTAGATTGAGGAAGTCAACGAATGCGAAGGCAACCAACAGTAGAGATCTCCTTTCGTTCCCGCTCAATGTTGTCACTGAGGTACTTCTTCAAGCGACCCATTGTGACAACTGCATTGTTGCTCAGAGTCTGAATAACCTGAAGTGGTGTCATAAGTCCTCCCTCGTCAATCTTCTTAAGCACGGCGTCCAATTCATCGCCAGCTTCCTCCAGAATTTGCGGGCTCGAGGCGAAGTACGTAAGTGCATCCACATATAGCTGAGGTTTCTCGGGGCCATATCTCTTCAACGCTTTGATGGCACCCTGAGTATCCTTCGCGGAGGTGAACGACCTGAAGATGTCTGACAAGAGGCCTTCTTGCTCCCGTACGAGCGTGGAGCCCTCACGGAAGCCAGAAAGATCAGAAAGCAGAAGCACACTCGACGTGGAGATTGGTATCTAAGCGGATATTAGCAAACCTCAGCAGAAAGGAACAAGTGAGTCTCCTTACATCCTTGCCTTCAATAAGCTTCTTTGCTTTGTCCTCCCATTCAACCTTCTGCGCGGCATCTTTCTGTCGACTTGCAGTATCCAGGTACATTTCAAAGAGAGTCGTGTAGAGGTCTATCTTATCGTCCTCTTTCAAGTTATCCTGCTGAATGAGAGCTTCCAGGAAAGAGATGAACTCATCCGGATGGCCCACGAACGCCGAAAATGCTGTTCTTGGTTTGGGTATCTGATACACCACCAACTCCTCGGTAGCCTTGTCTTCGACGGGCGGTGCTTCTACTTCCGGTTTTGAGCCCGCGCTAGCGTTGATCAACGACAAGGGGAGGAAAGCAGCTAAGCTCTGCAAAGTACTGGTCGGCTGTGCTTGGGGTTCCATGGACGGCGCTTCGACCTCGGTCTTCGGAGTATATTGGCCCTTATAGTACTTGATGAAAAGCTCTGTGGTTTTATCAGGGCAGTTGGATAGCAGTACTCGGGCATATTTCATTAGATTGTGGTAGGCCTGGACTTGTCAGTGATCAAAGTAGGGTCGAATCGATGAGAGTGCACGAACCAATTCCGGGTCTAACCTCCAGATATACTCGACAGCTTCCGCATACTTCTTGGAGTCCTCGATCAGGATATCAACCACCATATCATTTTCGCCATACTTTGTAGCCAAGTACGCCGCTTGCTCATAGTAGCCACCTTGCCTGCACATAGCGATTGCAGTTTCCAGATCAAACTTCAGCTCACCAGGAGCTTTGATGAACGCATCAAGTTTTCCAGTATCCTTCAACTTTGCGTAACAGTTGAGGAGCAGGGTGGTGTGATCCACCGTGGCCCGATCATGATCGTGAAGCTCTTCAAGGTACTCGATAAGATTATGTATCCGTTGTGTGTCCAGGTACTATGCAATCATTAGCGACAATTCCCTCTAGAAATAGTGCGGAATATCCAACCTTGCGAATGACCTGAGAAGGTTCCGTGTTATCGATCGCTCGAAGGTATTGTTGCATGGCCGTGTCGTAGTCGCCTCTTTGATACAGGAAATCACCGTATTTCCGGTAGATCGCATTTTGCTGGAGTGTATCAACACCGGTCTTTTGTGCTAAGTTTATCGCTAAGATGTATAGATTGCGCTGGTACAGAATTTCGAGCTTCTGCTGGAGGCTTTTCTCACGATACCGATACAGCTGATTCGTGTAAGCCATAGCTATGACACTCAATGATATGAACATACCTTTCCATCTGTAGTGAGGAGAAACAAATCGCCCCATTCAACGAAGATGTTCTTCACGGAAGAGACGAGGGACTCGGAGTGCGCGATGAACTTCAAATCAGTATCGAGCAGGGTGAATGTGGTTGTCTTGAAGATGTCGTCTGCCTGCCCGACGCCAATGTTTCGCAGAGTGTCAGGCTTGCTGGTCGTATCTCTAGGTGGGCAAACCAGAGCCACATAGTCCTTGAAAGTGGTGACGGAGTCTTTACGACTCTCAAAGGCGTAACTCGGGCCTCGGCCATGTGGTCCATACGTATATATCGCATCCTCCCGGGCGACAAGAACATCGCCCGTGTCTCTATCCAAGCTTAGGCAGCCAACAGCACATCCCATATCATCGAGTACGCGAGCCGGTTGTCCCTGCCCCCTTCCTGAGATAACCAGGGCCAGGATGCGATTCGTAGTCGAAATGTACAATGTCGATACGGGGCCACTCTGCACCTCCAGTCCCGTTATTGGCTCCTCCGATTCAAACACAATCCGCTGTCGGGCGCCGCGGTCGTGGATCAGATCACCACGAATAATTGTAACGGATCCGTTCGCGAAACCAACTGCCACCTGCGACAAATCATCGAGCGCCGCGAAAGCAGATACCTGCCCGGTGTTTATTTAGTATCAAGCCGACAAAGAGGGTAGCGCGTTGCGAGCTATTATACGTACGGGAAACATCCGTCTGGCGTTCTGGACATGGGTCGTCGATAGGCATCGAGGGGCACCGGTCTTCTTTTCGGACTTGTCGAGGGCCCAGACCTTCAGAGCTGCCTCACTGGGGAGATCCTCCGCTATTGTTACCAACAATGAGGTCCCTTCTATCTGCTTGATGTGCGCGATCGATCCAGTCTCCGATGCCCTGAATGACCGGACAAGCTTGAAGTTCGTCGAGATGATATGGACAAAGCCATCGCTGGAGCCGAGGAAGATGTTCGCAGAGCCGGTGGAAAGGGAGATAATATCAGACTAGAGCCATTCCGAAGGTAAGTGTGAGCGCGACGGACTTGTGTAGCGGAGAGGCCAAGGGAGGGGGTACATTGAAGATCGAGGAGCTCTCCTCCGGCAGCTTCACTGCGGAGACGTCGAAGAAGTTGAACGCTTTCCACTAGTTCCACGTGAGTCGGGTTAGTTGAGACCCAATCGCATTCAGCATAGAATGTATTTCCTTACTGATGTCAACGCCATCTGGACGTGGCCCACCCGTGGACCAACGACAACGATAGCAAGGATGCGATGAGAAGCAAGCTGCGGTGACCGTTCGGCGGAGATGCTGGCAGTGGATGAACTCCGCCGCACTAGCGCCGCCTTAGTGTCTCCGTCTCCGTCTTCCGACGTCATCAAACCTATCTAGTATGAAAACAATCTATCATTTCAGCAGAAATCACAAATGCTTTCTGGCCTGGTAAATTCGATTACAATTTTTACCTGAGAATTTGAATTGTAATGTCTTTCGAAGGGCCGCAGGATAAGAGCGAATGATTAGTCCGGCTTTCTGAAAAAGGTAGAATGCCAGTGATACTAGCTGAGTACTAGATAGAATATATCATATCACCAGACGGAGTTTCGAAGTATAGTAGAACATTCAACTCGACTGAACAAATGGAGCTGAGTCAACCAAAAAGCAAATTGTCCCTGAGGAATCCCACGACTACTATTCTTATGTTTGTAGAAGTCATTGTGGCTGACAAATGGTGATATATCCAGCCAAGCATGTGACATCCGAATTCGGTCAAAACAAACCCCAGGAAGCATGAATTAACTTAACCACCAACCCACCATGGAGCCAAGGCAACAATTCTACCGGCTATGCAAACAGTACCACTCATCTGTTTGCATACCAAATTATTTATCAATTGCAAGAATATCATATATAAGGCCATGCGCGCGCCCCATAACTGATCTTCGGTCCCGCTCAGAACCCCGAGTCTTCCCCAGTTCTGGATGGGAGAACATCGAACCTTCTTTTCTGGTTGAAGAAGAAAATATTCCAACTTATAAACCCAAAAGTTTGTATCCAGTTCATATTGGTGAAGTTTTTCATCATCGGTATCAGGTGGTTGGCAAGCTTGGCTATGGATCAACTGCGACTGTGTGGTTATGCCGTGATCTACCGTAGGCCTACTGATTGATCATTTCTTGAACTTAATCTCATCGAGATAGGGGCCATTGTCATGTAGCACTGAAAGTTTACATCACCTCAACATCCGTCTCTCAGAGAATTGAGATTTACAACCACCTAAAAACAATACAGTCCGATCACGCAGGCCAATCATGTCTGCGATCGTTGATTGACACCTTTCAGGTTCAGAATCCTGATGGGCATAGATATCATACATGCCTGGTGCATCCGCCACTGGGCATGAGTCTCGACCAGCTCACACCACTCCTCCCTAGTAAGGTCATGAGCAGCTTTATGGTGAGAACAACTATGCGAAATATCCTCGCGGCTCTAGACTTCCTTCATACCGAAGCACAAGTCATACATACAGGTCAGTAACTCAGTTTCTTACACGAGCTATTAACCTGCTACGGTTGGACTTGCTCTTGGCCAAAATTGACTGGTTCTCAAGACATCCAACCGAATAATATTCTTCTTGGTATCAAAGATACTTCAATCTTATCGCGTTTTGAAGAAGCGGAGGTTGAAGGTCCTGTACTCCGAAAGTCTCATTCAGATCGTACAATCTACGTCTCACGACCTCTCCCTATTTCCTTTGGCACCCCTGTGCTCTGTGACTTGGGAGAGGGTCGATTGGGGGGTAGACAATCAAAAGGGTGACATCATGCCTGATATCTATCGCGCACCGGAAGTCATCCTGAATATGAACTGGGACAGCAAAGTTGACATTTGGAACGTCGGGATGGTGGTAAGTGACTTGTTGGCTTGGTACCGGTTTTTGATGGAAGGCTGAGAGCGGCCGAAGATTTGGGATCTTTTCGAACATCGTCATCTTTTCAAGGCCCGAAATGACGAGGGAAAGCTAGATGATGGGCAGCATTTAGCAGAGATGCAAGCTGTTCTAGGAAGGCCTCCTGCAGAGTTTCTCGCTCGAAGCGCGAGGTCGCCCCAATTTTGGGATGCCAACGGTTTGTACAACCCTCCCATGTTTGAAGCCATCATGTGAATGCACTAGAAGTAGTAACGCCCTTTATCCTTCTAGTCCAATGGAAAGGTGAAGTTCCGATTCCGGATTACGATCTCGAGACTCTGAAAGAAAGACTTGAAGACAGCGAAAAGGAAGACTTTTTGCGATTTCTCAGGCGCATGCTTTGCTGGTTGCCGGAAGAAAGAGCTACTGCGAAAGAGCTGTTGTTTGATCCTTGGTTGATGCATGGCCGTTTCAAATAAACCATGTCTAGCGCTTCTTTGTCTTTTTTGACCTTTGTATGTACCTGTTTTCTTTGTGGCCTCTAGGTTGGTCGAGAGTAGCCCTGTTCAGACCACTTAAATGAGTATATTGGTCGTAAATATGACTAGTACCGAACGATATCCGCTGGTAGCTTCGTATGCATGCCAAATGTACGGCTGAGCCAAACGCACCAACCCCAATCCAGAATGTTATATCAGCGAATGTATGCCACAGCAATGCAAAACAGTATATATTGTATCCTACATGGAAGATAACATGACTAGGATAAAGTGTAAGTCTTATCTCCATTGCTTCCCTGTATCACTTCATAATGAAGGTGGAAACCAGGTATCATGCTGGAAGGAAATCCCCGCTGTACAGCACCAGAGGGGCAAGTCCACCATTCTCCATCCATCTTTCTCACCTTTCCTGATCCTCGTGCGAATAAAAGTCCTGTATTTAATTACTCTTTGTCATTAGTCTTTTCGTTTCTGAAGTTGCCATGGCTCCTCATGAGGTTGTAAGGCAATGATTTCACTTTCAGTTTCCTTAGGCGGCAGTTGCCAGTCACTGTTCTCCATTAACCGACGAGTACAACAGCAATCGCATATGGAGGTGAACAGTATATACGCTAGTCTCCCAAAGCTGGGTATATAAATAGTAAGAGGGCTGTCCCAATAATTCCTTAGATGCCCTCATTGCCAGTGTTAACTCGACAGCCATATTATCCGCCAGCAGAGTTTTGCATGCCCTGCCCAGCAGCTGACAGAGCATCGAAGCAACTGTGATTGTGTTTCGTCAGTATAGACTTGGAATCATACCATTGCCATCCAGGCATTCACTGATACTGATAACTGGAACATCATCCTGCAACTCTCATAGCCGAGAGACATCTTCCAATCACCATCTAAGCACAATGTCTTCAAACTCTCATACGGCTATCCAGATTCTCGACAAGCTCTACGAGCATGTCATGAAACTCCGAACCAGCGTGCCCAAGAACGGCCAAATGGATCTTCACAATCTAAACAATGTCGAACACGTGATGAACTTTGATTTCGAGCACTTGAATGAGAAGAAAGCGGTTCCCCCTCTCTACTTCGAACCCATGCAGTCCTCCGAATTGAAGCAATTCCCACCTGATCCTGCCAAAGTGCGCAGGTTCTTCGACATAGCCGAGCATGGCAGCCAAGTTCCCAGCTGTTGCCGCCAGATCTCCGACCTTATCTCCGACTATGCAACCCGTAAAGCAGTGTCTCACCAACATCTTCAGATAGTCGAGTAAGTCAGTCTCTCTCAATTGACTTGGATAGCTTTACCCCCAACTAACAGAGCATCTATATCAGAGCACCCGACAGTACCTTCTACCTAGAAGCGAGCCTCTCAGGGCCATACGGTAAAAGAGGATGGTGGCAAGTTTGCTATGTGCTAGAGCCAGAGCCCGTTAACGGAAAATGCTACCCCCATCTAGCCCTCCACCTCCTCGATCACACGGCAGTAGCTCACGACGACTCAATTCTCTACTCCGAGTTCAGCGCATTGGTTAGTGCCATGCGAGGACGTGCACTTCAACCGAAGGTAGATTCCGAGTCGGAACGGGAAGAGCTTTACGACCATGAAGACGCCGGGGAAGAATATAAAGAGTTTTTACCCCAGCCATGCAAAGTCATGTTCCCTGATGAGGAAATATTTCCTGTTCTGCTCATTTCTTGTGTCCTTCCACAACATGCCAGAATCTTCGCTGCATGTATGTACCAGGGGAAGCTGGTGATTAGACAGTCGAAGCTTTACAGCTTTGAATGGAGGGATAAGGCGCCGGTGGAGTTATTTACTCGGGTTTTCTTCAGTAAGCCGGTGGATACTAAGGGCGAGACTGGTCTTTGTTAGAGACTTGTTGCGCTGGAGTAAATACCTTTTTTTTCTGTGAAAGGTATAGTGGCTCTCGGCGCCTCATCTCGAATTTTTTCATCATCAGTTGCAAGAACCGGAAGACTTGACTCTTTTACAAATTAAGAATCGATCATACTGACTTTATATGCGATATCCAAGACTGTTTGGACAAGCTTCTATTTAGTAGCAGGAGTTTATCCTCTATTAATCGACTAATGCACAAGCGAAGCATGTGATTATCCATATGGGAAACCATCTATGTACCTAGTATATACAAGGATATCAAGTCGCGCTACCCCAAGTAAAATAGAAGACTGTCCAAACTGAAGCGACCTAGTGTAAAGCTAGGGCATAAAGGCATGTAACAAAGATGACCACGAAGACATATATTTACCCACCCCTTCCTAATAAAAACTCCATCGAAGAAAAAAGCCCACTACGCCTGCTATGCATGTAACAATCTCCGTCCTTCACCTATCCAACGTTACTGCCGAGCGGCTAATCCCCGCCGAAGATGACGGTCTCGACTTGGCGCTGCTCTTGCACTGCTGGATTTCATGATTGATGTCGAAGCTCTGCTGTAACCAGCTCCCCGCGTCGGCAATCGCCTGGCTTAGGTTAAAGCTGTCCGGGCCAGGGGCGACACCTTGGCCGTCTTGGATGGTGGTAGGATGGGAGTTTGACAAAGCCATTGGCAATGCGCTGCCTTGTTGGGTGTCGTCTGGGGTTTGTTGTTGGGCAGCAGGGGATTTGAGCGGAAGGATGGTCGGGTCTTCGTCTTCGTCTTCATCCTCGTCCTCGTCTTCCGATTCCGAGGATAATGGTGAGCCTGTGTTAGGGGTGGCAGTCCCCCGATCTATCCTACTCGACGATGGCATCTGGGGAGAAATGAATCGAGACCTGGCTTTCTTTTCTGTGCTAATGGTGAAGGGTGTAACGGCATCGATGATGCATTGAGTGCTCATTGGCATATGTGCAGTTCCTGGAGGTCTGGCTCGGGAGTATTTACCAACTCTGCTGGTGTTCATTCTATGAAAGGGGGTAATGTCGTTGGCGGGTGATGAAGGTTGGTTGTGAGTTTCTCCTGGGTTGGGAACTTGGCTCTCCAGATCATTTTGGAAGGATTTCTGCGCGTGCAAGAGCGCTGCCTGTGTGTTGAACTGTGGGTCCGGAATGGTGTCGTTATCGCATTCTGAATTGGGCTTCGCCGCGGAGATCGTTTGCAGTGAGGTGACATTTTCAGCCAGAGCTGGATTTACCGGCACTCGCTGGGCAGAGGGGTATTTATCGCTGATATTGACACCTTCAGCGGTGGTGGTTGATGATACTTTCCGTGACTGAGAGTTTCCCGGGTGATCAACATTACCAGAGCGTTCGGATACGTTTGGATTGTGCAAATTGTCTTCGGTCATATGCACATCGGCTTCAACGGCCTGCATTGAAGTCGTGTTTGGAGGTACTGGTGCTGGTTGACTTGAGACCCGGCTGTCTTCGACAACAGTTGTCTGGTGAGAGACCTGTTCATTATCTGCGTGCACCGGGACTGGCGAGGTGGTGCTATGTTCCGGATCAGCGGAGCGCTTCCTACGACGAAATTCAAACTTCGATAGGTGGGAAGTTGACGAAAGTACACAAATCGAGTTCTCGAGGTCCTCCATCTCTGATCGGACACCAGGGTGTCTGCTGGTGAGTTGAGCTTTGACACTGTCCGGCACACGACTGTCAAAGGTAGTCTCGTCTCGAGAGCCTGTACTTGCTCTTATAAGATTCTTCGTTGTGACTCGATAATCTGTGCCCGGAACTTGTATTGTGTAATGCCCTCCTTCCCGATATCTAGACGATATCGTAGTTGTAGGAGAAGTGGGTGGATCGACTTTCCGGAAGTTGATTTCTGCACGGTCCCTCTTCAGCCAGCTTTGCTCTGTATGCTGGAATGGGGTCAACGCATCCGAGTGTCCACTTGTCTCAATTGTCCTCTTGCGCAGTGCGACTGGCTTTGGTGTATTGTTCGAGCTTGATGTCCGACCACGGCTATCTCGTGGCCGTTTGGACGACGGTGCCCCCGTAGTGCCACCTTGAGACTCTCTTTTCTTCGTGGAATATGATGGGTCGGTAAGAGGAACAGCAGACTTCGAGCGAGATATGCCTAGCGATTCGCGGTATAGGGGCCGTTTCTGCGGGACTGTCTCTGGGATAATAGGTCTTTCCGAATGTTCCAAATGCTTCCCTCCCGTCCGTACATGGCTGCCGGCCTTTTGCCTGTCTTTCCTCCAGGGGTTGGTCCATCCGTTGTCCAAGGGCCCGCGAAGTGAAGCGGACAAGATGAAAAGTGGGGTGCCATGGCAATAGGCCTGGGCCAGCTCCTCTATGCGCTGATCCCGAGCAGCCCGGTCGCCTTCATCTAGATCATCGTCGGAAGCGATAAGGGGATCGGAGTCGAGGTCTGGCGGGGAAGGCGAGATTGTTTCCAAGGAGAGCGGGGAAGCGGGTTGACGGAGTGGCATCGGGGAGACAGCGGTGATGGATCGGGGAAGAGGAGGGTGAGGATTGCAGGGGTGCAGCAGTCGGGGGCTGACTGCATCTGAGCTTGAGCAAAGAGGAATGTGGCGGATAGATCCTCATATCTTCTGGAGCAGGCAGATGTCAAATGTCAGGCATCATCAGCAGCATCGTGCATGATCCAAGTTGGACCGATGCGGTCAAGATCGATTCGCGGGCAAAAACCACTTAACGCGTCCACCGGCGCGGCTACCCCAGCAACGGAGCTGCTTTTCTACTTTCATCATTGACTGGGTGTTTACTTGGTATTATTCTTATTATAAGATGTTTGGCTGGCTACAGATGATATACAGCTCATTGTTCGGTTCGATTTACAAGCCAGTGCGACTGAAACAAATGGTTGACCCCCTTAGCACTTACTACTCGATTACCGTCTTGGATAGGGAAAGTGATCTCCACTCCTGTCTAATATTGAGGCTAGTCTGGCATGCGACTGCAGAATTTGTCGCCGCAATTGCAGATCTAAGTATAGTCGATGCGGTATACCGAGGCTGACAATGGTTGTCGGTGACAAACTTGGAGATGAATTCGCTGTTCGCTGTCACCGACAAGGCTGGTTACTACTCCCTGGATCCAGAGGCTGGGGACGGAATATTGGAACTTTGTAGATGACCACACCGTTGTGAACAGGCTCCGTGATAGAGGAGAAGGCTGACTATGCGAGCCAAGCTGGAACTGGTATGGTCCTCGTAGACTTTCGATTACGGAGGATTTATCCGCTCTATACCGGCAGAGGCGGTCGTGAGTTCTGCTTATTTTCGTGTTGTATACTATAAGTCACTCGCAATGAGGCTTAGACAGTGTTCTTCTTCGTATGTCATCGTGGCCGTTCTCCCTGGAGGACACGTACATTCATCTCCTCAACCCCAGCCCATTGGTGAAACTACTCCATACTCATCGCAAGGTCTTCCAGTTCGGGCCAGCCAAAGGATTTGGCGAGAATACGACTCCGCACGGAGCAAGGGTGTGGCGGTAGTAGCTTATCCTGGAACTGAAAAGCCCCCCTATTTAGGTAGATTTTAGTTGCACGGGGATCGGGGGCTAGTACAACAAACAAATCTTGCCTCAGATCCAAGGTAGCCTCGATGGGGTCGGGAATCCTCGAATCGGTCCCCAATTCGGTCGTATTCGTTCCGTTGCCCAGACTAGAGGATACTGTGTGGTGAGTATCCCAACCCCAGTTATAATTAATACACTAACATATCCGATTTGTGTGTGTGCGCGCGTTATTATGCAAATGCGATCATAAAATAGTGAACGATTATGATTTGCAAGCTAAGATGAGAAAAGGATGATTTGGGGATGGTCCGGCAAAGCCGACGATCATCCATGGGCTGGTTGGGAGGAAGAGAGAGGAGCCGGTGGAGAAACAAGAAGAAAAAAAAAAAAAAGTAAGAAAGAAAGAAAAAAGGGAACCCCTGGCCAACAGAAAGTGGATCCTTCGCACGACTGACATCAACCCGCTCAACTCTCTCTCACTCTCACTCTCACACTCTCCTCGCTGTCGCTCTCCTCCAGCCTGTCTTTTTTCCCCCTTCTCCCGTCCAATTTCTCACTTCTTTTTTTTCTTTTCTCTATTTATTCGCTTTGTCGTCTTCTTTTTTTTTTTGTAATACTATTTGTCTTGGGGTTTTATTCGAGTCCCTCCCTTTCATACCCGTCCGATCCTTGTTCAATTCGATCGCCGAGGTTCTTCTACTCTCGATCCTCGTTTCGCCCATTCCGCTCCGCTCGGTATCTTGTCCCGTCTCCTCTCTTCCCCTCCCTCGCTCTAATCGATGAATAGTGAGAACGGCGACTACTCGATCGTCAAGAATAATCCACAGAATATTCGGACGACACAATCATGGCTCGTGTACGGAGAAGGTCCAGTAACCTGGGGGCGGATATTCGGGGAGACACCACCGCTCCCGCCATGTCCACCATGAACGAAGCCAGCCCCATTGAATCCGAAGCGCCTAAATGGGACAAGGTATGAATCTCTCACGACTCGAAGTCGACTTTCGCTGGGGTTCTCCATTCCCCCGCTCACTCCTCCCCCAGGCCTTGCAGAATCAATCCGCCGAGAAACTTTCCAAGCCGCATACGAAGCGCCGCAAGAAGTCCCCGCTCCGTCGCTTCAAGGATGCGTGTCTCAAGCATACTTGGCTTCTGCCTCTTCTCATGCTCGTCGTTCTTCTGTCGCTCTACGCCATCAACCCGACCGAGTCCAATCCCATGCATAGCGCCATCTTCTTGTCTTATCCTCTGCCTCCGAAGGTCCCCGGTGGTCCGATCATGTATGGAAAGGGTCCCAAGGATATTACCTTTGTTTCGTTCTACACGATTGTTCTGTCATTTACTCGGGAATTCCTGATGCAGCGCCTGATCCGGCCTTTCGCCGTATACTGTGGGATTCGGGGCCGGGGTAAGACTGCTCGTTTCATGGAGCAAGTCTA